CTTAACATAGACAGGGCTATTCAATAAATAAATTTGTTTTCGCTTTTTGACACTTATTACCTATCCGCTAATAGATGAACATTATTGTTAGTAATTAATTCGTTCATTTAGTCTTATCCATTCATTTATTAATTCAATCACCAAATCCTTAATTTCTTTGTTCATTCATTTTTTTCAACCACAGATATATCGAATCGGTTGATTGATCGGTGAGTAGGTCAGTCACACAACAAACCAAGTTTATTGAACTTTGAGAATCGTAAGCAATTAAGGAAGAGAAGTTTGTGCAGGTAAGCTGAAAGTAATCATATCACTAATACTATCTTAAGTAAAGCTTTGGATTTGCTTTCAGATTAACACGAACCGGATCGTTTGAGTGCTTTATTAAACAAAATTTATCATCAAGAATATTTTCCCGTGTCAAAAGAACAGCTCTAATCGAGGTCGAATTACATTTTACAAATTACGATAATCTTCTATCTAATTACTGCGGTACAACGTTAAATACAAAACTTAGCTCACCCACGGGCACATGTTTCTACTTAGATTTTGTAGGTGTCAGGAAAAATTTGGTCCATAATTTCAGTATGTGGAGATGTTTTAATTTCTTGTCATGTTTAACTAAAGTTTGAAAGACATACCTGTCCACATTCGCCTTTAAGGTCCTATTAAGTAAGTAGAATTCAGCTCCATTCAGTATGTTTCAGATGGTTAAGAGGAAATTGTTCTTGTCATTTTTAACTTTCGGTGTTCTTTCTCACGTTTGCTAATTGCACTACGCAGAAGGCGTCTACGTATTGTAATCACATCATCATGAGCTGTGTTAGTCAACGAAAAACAAATGAACTTAGGAAACACATTAAAAAGCTTACAGTTCTTCAAAAAATTGATATCCAACTCAGCCTTCCTAGATTTTATAGCTGTTTTTTCAAGCTTAGGAAGAACACAGATCGGTAGTTCCCCTTCATATTTGTTCGCAAAGTTGTGAATGATATTGCCAAAAGAACAGCTAATAATTTTAAAAAACAACACAACAGATCGTATCTTCATCAAAGGCAAAGCCTATATTTAATCCAATATATTATGGCCTTAACGGCCCCAACAAGACTTGTTTCGTAGCCTACTACCATCTTCAGTTATCTTCTTGCACGCAGGCAATCATTAGTATAGGAGAGTAAAAAATTCAATGTTTGCATGCTAAAAAATTGTGGAATGAACCGTAACAATACTACAAAACAAAATATAAATAAAGATGAGGTAAAATCAGAGTGCAGTATTATGTCACTAAGGGGAGAATGGAATGAACTTAGAATGACAAAAATAAATTGACATGAAAAAGCTGTTTGTTCAGTGACTGCTGCTACCACTGAATATGCAAGGCTTCTTTGATTTTTAGAATTTGGGTTGTAGAGGCGGAGTCCAGTATAGTGAAGCAGTCCTCATTGGCTGATTGTTTACAATGACGTGAACTCTTCAAATGCTTTAATATATGCGAGTTCCCATCCAGTGTTAAGTGCTCACGCATGCGTGTGGAGAAATGTCGGCTAGTTTCGCCAACGTAACAAGCATTACAACCTGCACATACAAATTTATAAACGATACGCGAACGGAGACCAACTGGGATGGGATCTTTAGCTGAAAACAATTTTTTTTTTAATTTTGAAAGAGGAAAAGACAATTTTTAAATTTAAGTCATAACAAAATTCATTAGATAAGGCACGGATTTTCTTGCTAAGGACTTTGGAACATGTGCCAACATAAGGTAATTAATAAATCCCATGGCATGTGCCTCCGTAATACAAAACGATATAAGGATTATAATGTTAAAACTGTAAGGTTTCGTAACAGCCCTTTGCCTTACATGACGACTCTTCTAAATAACATCTAGTGTTCTTGGCGGTTAGCCAGCCTCTTTATTTTTCTTTATTTTTCTTGTTGACGGAGTTCACTAAATGGTGATATTTAATTTATAATAGTTTTTTTCGTTAAATTTTATTGGCATTTTTTTTGTTGTTCCTGTGTACAGTAATGTTATTTTAACCCAGCAGCCTCCAATTCAATTTCTATTGCCAAAGGTTATTGTTGTCGAATTTTCCTTGTTAATGAATGAATAATTTTATAATGAATAATGTTGTTTATAGAATTGTAATTTTTAAATGATTTTGTAATGAGTCATTTTTATAATGAATAATTTTATATATAGATTTGTACATTTGAATGTAATTATTTTAAAGTAATTTTGTAATGAATTTATTTTGTTGTATGTCTGATTGAATAAATATATACCTGAAATAAAAATAAAAAGTGATCGGTGTATTTTATTCAGTGTTGTCCAATGTACTTTTACATTTACATTGAACTAAATTTTCATAAAGAAAAATAATTTGATCAATAAGGTATGAAGGAAAACAATTTCTCTTAAGGATGGTAGTTAATGTCTTGATATCAGAATGAAAGCCCCTCCAAATATTATTGAGTTTATAAGCCCTATCAACTAACGTACGAATAAGACCAATTTTGTAACTGAACGAACAAAAACTGAAAAAATTTGTAAGTAACCCAGTATATGATATTTTCCTAAAACATTGAGGTCTGAGGTGGCCCATCCTTAATGTTAGACACCAAGACGTCCAAGAAAGGAAGCTTTTTCCCTACTTCTTTTTCCATGGTAAATTTAATGTTGGGATGGCGTGAGTTAAGGTAGTCAAAAAATAAATGAGCATCCTCTTCTCTATTAAAAACACAAAAAAATATCATCCACATAACGTTGGTACAATAACACATTTGGACACTTATACTGTGCCAAATTTTCTCATGGTGCCTCATGAATAAATTGGCGGGAACATGGGCTAGTAGGGAGCCCATAGCCACGCCGTCTATCTGGTCATAATAAACTTGGTTAAATAAAAAATGGGTTTGAGAAGTGGCGAAAACAAATAATTTCTTAAGATTGGATTTGCTTATTTTCAAGTCAGTGTCATCATTTTCCTAAATATAATTCACAGCCAAATCAATAGATTCATCTAATGGAATATTGGTGAATAAACTTTTAAATGAAACTATGAACTTATTACTGAAATTTGATTTTTAAAGGTCGTTAACGAAGCTAAAGGAATCTGTAACACAAAAATCCAAAGCATATGAGGTTGCAACAAATTACACAAGAATTTTGCTAAATTATAATTATATGTGCCGATGGATGAAACAATGGGTCTGAGGGCGCCCTAGCTTTGTGCATCTTGGGTAACCCATAAATCCTGGCAGGTTGCGAACCTGTAGGATAAATATTATTGTAAGTGTTCTGGTCTAGTATCCCATTTTTCTTCAGGGTCCGTAGAAATCGTTGAAGTTTTCCTTCCCGTGTGATTGTGGGGTCGCCAGTGATTTGTTTGAATTTGGTTTGATCTGAAATGATATCCATTAAGGCAGAGTTGGATGATTTTCGATCCAAAATAACAACGCCGTTCCCTTTATCTGTTTTAAGAATCGCTATATTATGGTTCTTTTAAGTTCTTTCAATAGGTATGTGTTTGCCAAGTGTGTCAGATGAGACCGAAGAATACCAGGTTTTTCAGGATCGATGAGCTTTCTGGCCATCGTCCTGTGAATGTTCTCAAAACATGTGAAAATATCGGTTTTGTTAATTTTGGATGGGCATATTGAAAATGTTAGACCGTTTTTTGAGTACGTCTAATTGTTCTTGGGTGAGCTTATATGAATAGAATAGTAGAATTCAGCTCCATTCAGTAAGTTTCGGATGGTTAAGAGGAAATTGTTCTTGTCATTTTTTAACTTTCGGTATCCTTTCTCACGTTTGCTAATTGCACTACGCAGAAGGCGTCTACGTATTGTAATCACATCATCATGACAAGTGTATGTTAGGCAACGAAAAACAAATGAACTTAGGAAACACATTTAAAAGCTTACAGTTCTTCAAAAAATTGATATCCAACTCAGCCCTTCCTAGATTTTATAGCTGTTTTTTCAAGCTTGCGAAGAACACAGATCGGTATTTCCCCTTCATATTTGTCCGCAAAGGTGTGAATGATATTGCCAAAAGAACAGCAAATAAATTTTTCAAAAACAACACAACAGATCGTATCTTCATCATAGGCAAAGCCTATATTTAATCCAATATATTATGGCCTTAACGGCCCCAACAAGAAATGTTTCGGCTGTCTACTACCATCGTCATTTATCTTCTTGCACGCAGGCAATCATTAGTATAGGGGAGTAAAAAATTCAATGTTTGCATGCTAAAAAATTGTGGAATGAACCGTAACAATACTACAAAACAAAATATAAATAAAAATGAAGTAAAATCAGAGTGCAGTATCTATGCCACAAAGCGGAGAATTGAATGAATTTAGAATTTATATATATATATCTATATATATATATATATAATATATATATATATATATTTATATTTATATAAACATTATTTATATATACTCTACTATAACATAGTATCCACTGGACATGACACATAAGCCATTCACCCCTCTCCTCTCCTGGGTCTACATAAGTGAGTCATGCATTCCTGGGAAAGTCACTCAGGATGTTTATGCTACATCACTGGTAATAAATGTCTTGATAAGCCCTTGCTTCCTGTCCCCCTGCTGTATATAAGTTACATTAGTAGTTAGGATAGTCAGTTTTGAGTTTTGATTCTTGTGACAACAACATCGGTCCAAAATCATTATACTCCTCATTGTTTTATTAAATATTTATATTGAAGTTATATATTTGGAGCTTTTGTGATTCTTTTGCCTTGCCCTCGATCACGCACACCGATACATATACATATACATTATATATACAGTATATACATATACATAAATGTATATATACAGTATATACAGTATATATATACTATATATATACATTATATACAGTATATATACGTATATATATATATATATATATAAAATCAATAAATGTAGTTGGCAATACTAGCAACGTACAGTACTCGATACACGTGATAATGCAGAGCGTAAATATTGAAAATGTAGAACTGGGTATAATCACTCTACAGACTGTTTCATGCTAATGCAATCTTCAGGAATGAGAGAATACAAGGATTGTGTGAATATATGAATGCTAAGGCAGGTGCAAATGCAAATTAATTGTTTTTAAGTAGTTATTTGTTGTTGTGCCTGCATTTAGACAATAGCTCGGTTCTTTTGTTTAGTATTGACTGTTTGAATATATTATGTGAAGTTTCTCGGTTATGCATAGGTTGCAGCGTTTTGTTTTTTGGGAAATAAGCCGATGCTCTGTCGATAAT